GAGATCAAGAAACAATTGTGATCTCAAATCCCAGCATGCAGCCCGACAGCAACGTAGCTGCTCGAATGTCCCGTCTGGACAGCGATGAAGAGATCACTATCTGGCACCCTGGGAGGGTGAGAGAAACTCTACCAGGTGTAAAGTTCCAACAGACCATTTCCTGAGTCGGGATGAAGATGGTTAGGGAGGTGCGATCTCACACATGCCGTTGTTCCGCGGCGCTGAGATTTGCAGAAGGCACCGCACATGAACACAATGAGACGGTCGAGAGAGCCAGACAGGGGGCTCAAAAACCGGAGGCATGTGCAGTTTACGACTCACTCGGTGATGAGTTTTGATGCATTTTAAGTAGTCTGTCACTCCACTTATTAAGGGTCCACGGTATTGTTGCGTAGTGTGACACAAGGCAAGCAAGACATGCAGAAACAAGATGCAAAAATAGAAGTGTTGTGATGCGGTAATTTGAGGAAGAGAAGAGTGATGGCACCAGAGAAAGATCAGATAAATCAGGATTTACTTGGAGGTCATTAAAAGCAGCGATAAACCATGACTAAGTGCACTCAGGGCAAGGCTGGCCAAATATACACCCTATTCCATGAGTGGCAGAGGCAGCTAGGACATAAACAATTACTCAACAGCACCACTAGCTTCCTCCAAGTATATATTTTAAGACATTTCTTGTTCAAATGCCTGGCAGAGTTTCACAGTAGTCCAATACAGATCTGCATTCCTTTAAGTTCACAGTATTGGAATGAAAAACAAGAGCTAAAAAGGCACTTAATATAATAATATACATAAGATTTCTCCCCACACAATTTTCAGCATGTTCTTAGCTCCATCATCGGACACGTCCCATTGTTTGATATAACCCCTGATTGTCCATGACACGGCACAAACAAACCCTAGAGCTGATGTCTGCAGGACACATCACTACTGAAGCAAACTTGTGTTCTTGATTGATCCAACTCTTACCAGTGACTAACTGATCATCAATAAATCATTAACATCCAAGTAGCCAAACAAACGTGTCAACACTCCGTCCACTCCCCCACCCCCCATCTGCCAGTACAGCGCTAACCAAGCGTGCAATATCATTAGCAGGTGCTTCATGTGCAGGCCCGGCTGGCGCTCTGCTTTAAGTCTTATGATTGGGGTTTTGAGGGCAGGGACTCGGCACTACATCCTCGATCGCCGACTTCTGCTGAGTCATTCCCGCCCCCTGGGTCACGGTCAGCCCCTCATCCTCCCTGCCGGTGACCTCTGACAATGGTCAAACTTACTCCCTGTCCTCCGAACGCCAGCGAAAGGTCCCGTCAGCACAATAACCAACACAGCAGAGTTTGATCGTTTACAGGGCCGGACAAAGAGAACATCCATGGAAGAAGGGGTGGAAGACTGATTTGGATCCGATGCTAATTCTTTTCTCTCCTTCGCTCTTTCTCGGGGCATTTCTCAAACTTCACACCGGGGCTCCACATTCCCCGTGTCAACACACAGCGAAAGGATGCGTGCATGTGTGTGTTTGTATGCATCAAAGGACTCTCTCTATCTGTCTAATGTTGTAAAGTGTCTAAGGCTGGCAGTGAACTCCAAATGAAATCACATTTGGCACTTTTTATCTTGCTGCCGAAAACCGCACAGCTGGCAAATGCTGCTTTACTCGCTGTGACTCGAGATGTGGTCTTTCTTATGCCGTGTACATCTATTGGCCTTCTATCCACATTAAGACACATTTTGAACCTCTGAAACTAAATGTGTACGTTCTACACTTGTGTTGTAGTGTGGACAGAGGAAAGTATTTTTTAAAAGTACAACAAATGTCAACCTTTCCATTCTGTTGGTCTCTTTTCTGAAACAAATACAGCCAATCATACAGTTGATTACTAAAAAGGCCGGCTCAGACAAAGAAAGTTTAATGAAGTCATCAACACTTAGGGATTACATTTGAGCAAAATGAAATACATAATAGGTTCCCAAAAAGGATTCCAATGCACCACTAAAGCGGAGTAGGTGGAATTGCAGCAAATGCACAATCATACTGGTGAAAATGGAGCCTTGCATTAAAACCATGCGTTATTTATTTTTTTGAATGCGTATCCTCTTCTTCCACACAGTACTCTTCCCAAATAGAGCAGCCACCGGTCACTGTAAGCCTGTTTACCCAGCTTAGCGGGTGACATAACATTGCATCAGAGATGGATGACCAGACGAGCACACTGTTCCCAGGAGTCATTCAGAAATATCACTGTGTATGCCCAGGTACACCATCTTTAAATAAGGCCTCAATACAGCCACTGAGGCAGGTGACCCCACTAAATATGACACGGCTTGGTTTTCATCACAAACCATATAAACCCATGCTAGCAACTCCTTGCCTGTTTACTTATCTTCCCATCTGGAGGTATCGCCCTGTACTTTCCCAGAAGCTGGACACATTCATGCGAAGCCATGCGGGTTATGACGAAACTCATCACTGGACTCATGAAAATAACATCTGGGCCCACCTACAACAGATCGCTGGCCCTTTAATCCCCTCATGTGACGACATGATAAAGCATGGATTAAAAGATAGCCAGTCATCCTGTCAGTCAACACTGCTGCCTGCATACTTGCATCAGCGTTACCCTTTACTGCATTGGACGAGCAGAACTCGGCAGATAAACAAGGCCAGGCTGTGGTCGTGTATCTATAATGCGGTGAGTGTGCCTTAGGATCCACAATGCATTGTGGTCTATGAATAGGCTGAAGGCAACAGTCTGTCCCAGTGGATAATATACAATAAAAGTGGTTGATCAGACAAATGCAGTGACGACAACCGAGTCTTTGAATCAAGATAATGGACGGCTATCTGCCTCAATGTATTTAGAGTGTCTATTGTGCATTACTCAGGCTTACTGGTGTCTACATTACATGAATGACAAAACAACAACGACCACCGTTGACCCTAAAAACTCAGAGATGCCTCGTATTAGGTTAAAATTGTCCCTTCAGTTTCTCTTTACATTAACATGATCTCTTTGAATTAAAATGGATTAAACAGAGAATATCCTGATTTAAAATAATAAAAATTATCACTGTATAGCCGACGTGTTCTTAGTTGGTAGAAACTAAGAACACAAGTTTTATTCCAACATTAAATGCTGTTTATTTGTCAAAAGACATTTAGCCTTAGAGAGCCATAAAAGTACATATTTAAAAAAAAAAAAAAAAAACTTTTATGAGATTTTAAGGACTATTTAAGAAATAAGTGTGAGTAACTTTTGTCACCCAGAGACTAGTTTCTACATTTCAAGGAGATACTTAATGATAAACTTCTGATCAAGATATCTTTCACAAATAAAATTAATCTGTAACATTTTGGTAACTAACTTTTTGTACCATGTTCCTGTATGCAAAATAGGTCTCCTCAATAATCCAGATGTGGCCGTTGCTGTCCGGTACAGCCGGTTTTCGGTTGTCCCCTGAATGTGGATCAGGCCGTGGGCCCAGTGCTCCTGACTGCTGCTTTACTTCCACATGACGGCTTGCTGCGACAGTGTAAGGTCCAAAAAGCAATCTGCTCTGAGCTGCTGTCGATGTGCGGTCCATTCTCACACTGTACTATACAGCTCTCCTCCTATGGGGCTTCCTTAGGGGTGGCCCGATGGGATAGGATCATTGTCAATGTGTATTCGTGAGTGTGGGTGTGGGTGGTGAATGCATCCCGTCCGGCTTGTACTGTCCCTACAGGTTTCCCCCTGACAATCAACAACCTTTTAGTTCCCTTTCTCCAAGAGTTCATAGTGAAAACATGCTTAACAAGTATTTTGTTAAACAAACTGGCAAGCAAAAAAGAAAAATATCCTGAATATGACCATCACTGATGGAGTGCACCGGAGTGACCAGAGGCTATAACTCACAGTCAACCGTTAATAATAACTCTGATCTAAAGGAAAGAGCTAGAAGCTGCCTCAAAGGATTCCTTATCAAAATTGTTCTTTCCTTGTACCTTGGCCTTTATGTCCACTTCTGACCCAATCACGACTTTGTTACACACAAAAAGATAAGGTCACAATCTAATTTTTTGTATCCACACTCGTCAAGGACAAGAAGTCAGTCCGGCCTCTGAATTAAGCCACAAGGGCAGGAACTCCCTTCACTGAAGTACAGGTGCCCCACGGGCTCAATCAGGCTTGAAGGAAACTAGGTGACAGGAGTGCTCTGGAGTCAGGGATTACAACTGTTATGTCTCGAGTTAGATCACAAACCTTGGGTGGCACTGCATCAGTAAAACCAAGATTACCACGGCGTGTTTGTAAGCAGTGGACGGTGATCTTCATTTTACTGACCTGAGGTCGAGCAAGGATCATCACTTGAGCAGGTGTTAAAACGTTAAAGCAGTCTCACACCAGCACCAATGTCTTCTCTTCTACTTTACTGCGTCTACATCATCTGGTGACTTCAAAATTTCTGCCAAATAAGATAACTACCGTACTGAAAACAACCATACATATATCATGTGCTGACGTGCCCCAAGAGTGGAGGTGACAATACATGATTATTAAAAGAAAATCAGCTAGCATCACATTGCGTAATCTATATCAGGCATAGTTAAGGTTATAGTCACATCCCCAAAGCAACAACAGTAAGCGTGAGCTTATTTAAAAAGGGAATAACACCAGTTAATATCCACAAAACTTGTGAGAGCAGTTGAATACTTTTCATCCAGCTGACGTTACGGAGTTCACGTCTTAAAGATTCAGCCATGTCAGCCTAAATTAAATGGGTACACCTATTGTTTAAATAGTAGTTATCCCTTATTACACCCTCCACCGTGTTATTAACACCGAGGAGCATCATTAAAATAATTTACTGACACCGCTGGGTGAGCTTTGGGACCAGCTAGCTTGTTAGCATCGGCACACAATGCGAGCTTTCGTAGCGGCGAGGTGCTCGGTGGTGGTCCGATAACACCGAGGATATAGCAGCTAATGTGAGGGTGAACGTGTTCTCTCACTCGCCTTTTTCATCCGCGGAGCCTCGGCCACGGTACCGTCCCGGTTGACGAAAGCCTCTCCTCCGTTCTGCTGCGGGTCCGTCCGCTTCATAGCCGATGCCTGCGGCATCTTCGCGGGGTTCGGGGTGAGCAAACCCAGGCTGCCTTCTCCGGCTTTCGCGGAGGGCTCCGCAGCAGAGACAACGGCCTCGTGCGGGTCGTTTCTGCCGAGGGTCTTGCCCTCCGAGGTCGGTGTCACCGGGGAGCCCGCCGGTAGGTCTTTGCCGGTGGGGACGTCTTTGAGTTCGACCTCTGCCATTTTTGCTGCCACAACCTGGACTGACATCGCTGCAGTTTCACAAAGTCCCTTTTTCCCCCAACACAAATAGCGAGCCGAGCGGATGTGAGCGGAGGAGCGACTGTGTCCAAATGCATTGTGGTCCTTGTAGTTCGTCTCAGTTCAGTACCTTGAGCCAACTCCAATATCAATGATAGGCACACATCTGATATTTTACAAAACCTTAGTCAACGTGGGGAAAAAACATTGACACATGCATTTTATTTAGCGGACAAGAAGTTATAATCGATAAAGTGACTACTATTCCCAGCAGGGAAAGCTACCCTGCGAAGTGCATTGTGGGAAATGACGTTTGTAATAAAAAAAAAGTACGACACTAAACTACAAAACAAACGCGACTTATGCTTGATAATGCTGCAGGGCAATCAGGAATAAAGTTTCTAAATTGTTTTCTGTTACTAGGCAGTCTCTCTCAGTTTCACATGTGAGAATTAATAACACCAGGGTGCACATAATCACTCATATTACATTATGAAGGCATTTTCCAGCAAAACAGTTTGTCCTAAGCAGATGCTGACACAAAACTACTTAATAATGTTGAAATTTGCCAGTCAGCATTGTTTTCCAGCCTCAAGTCTTCAACTTGACTTTGCTGCACAAGATACTGAATCACATTACAATGATCTAGAGGTAGATATCATGCAGTATGTCAAGAGGAAAAAGGGATCAGTTGGTCAAATCTAAAAAAAATGAACTACATTGCCACCAAGTGGATGCCTACAATAGTCAAAAAATACCATTAGGCAGAGGGAAAGAACATGCTCTTACCAGTTTCTTTTCAAAATCTCAATTTTATTTCAAAGTCTTGTGACAAATGTAAAATGGCATTATTGAAAACGAGCAAACATATGGAAGGTTTGAAATTTAACAAATGGCTGACACAAGATGTCAGGATAAATGGCTTTTGTAAAAGACGTTACATTCTCAGAAAGAGACTTTGGTGATTCAAAGGCTTTTCATTTGTTTTCCATCACGTATCAAAATAATTAACACTGTACATAGTTACGTGTTGCATTGTAGCCTAGTACCAGGGAAGCTTTACTAAAACAGAATACTTCAATATTTTGTGTATTGCTTTCACAAGTCCAATTTTTGTATGTGACTTCAAGCATGTCAGGAGCATCCCTACAACAGAAGACCATCATTCAACTACAGGGAAGAAGAAAAACGGCATACCAGGCTACTGAAGCTGAAAAAACAAAAGTCAAGTCCGCACACACCGTTTGCATTCATGCTAAATGGCTCAGAGCCATTTACAATTCACTAGATAAATCTGAGGTATATTATTTACAAGGCTGCCAAGCTGGTACATTCTCAGATACAAAAATCAGAAAACCAAACAAATGTTAAAAAATACAGCTCTGCAGTGTATCACCTGTGGTGCAACGTAAATATGTCCTTAAAATGACAATACAGAATGTTACCCATGTGTACACTAAAATTGAGAAAATTTCCAAAAATATGCATTTGTTGTCTTTCAAAGGGAGGTGCCACTTCTGATCTGCCCCAGAAAGAGCCGTCCTTAAAATGAGGTGGTATTCCGACCAGTGTAGAAAAAAAATCCACTCGCAGCTTTTTGTTGCTTGGTAAATGATGATGATCATCATCATCATCATCATCATCATCATCATCAGTTCTCGAATATCCACAAGATGTTCACACCAGAGAGGCCAAGATTTACTCTCCTGTAGAAAAAATGAAAAAAAAAAATAATTATCCTACAAGCAAAGTCAAACTGATCATTTCAAACCAAAATGCAATCTGTGCTTTGTTGTATGACCTTTGTGTTGAAAATGAATCAGTATTTCATTATACTCTAAAATTACATATACAATACAAGCTAGCCGGTCTTTTACAGGACATTAATAGCAGAAGTACTCACCCCAGCATCCCTGACTCCTTAGTCTTAATGACATAGAGGAACATTAGGATTGTGTGGAACAGGTTGTTCCTGCCCTGTAACAGAAATCAAGATGGGTTCATGTTAGGAAACTGCTGAATGCTGATAACCAGATTCATTTCTCAAATGCCTTGTGTGTTCAGATGTAATGATTTAAAATATCATGTCTCATTGTTAGAATAGAGTGCAACATTGCTCCCTCTTTTATTTTTATGTGCTTTGTATTTATCACATTGCATTTTTAAATTATTTGGCAAGTTCAATCTTTAAGGGAGTCAGTAAAGTTGATCTGATCATATGTTTGATTTACAGCGCTACCTCAGGGATTCGATTTAAAGCCGGTAAGGGCAAAATAAGAGCACAAGCTGTTTTGTAAGATCCTGAAAATAGACGTCATTATTTTAAAAATGTTGCCGTCACCTTGGGTAAACTGTAGATATGTCCCTGGTAGATGAGCTGGTAGTCAGGGGGAGTTATGCTGCTTTGGTGGATGCAGAAGAGGCTCTCCTTTGTAGCATCTATGAGAGTTAACACAAAAAGAGACACAAGAGTTGAACCAGCACGAAGAAGTAACGATAGAAACTAGATGCTGTGTTTCCAGACTGAGAAGAATACAGTGAAAATCACAAGCATTTCATTTTTGTCCTTCCTGTTTACCAGTTTGTGTGTGTGTGTGTGTGTGTCCACTCACCAGGTTTGTCTGGAATGTGGCTGAAGTGCTGAGAAGTGAAAGTCTTCCCATCTGGGTACTTTGGGTGTGGAGGCAGTCTGGAGTCCAAGTATGTACAAAACATGTGCATGAGGATCTAGAGGGACAAACACAGTATTACGCAGAGGTATTTGGCCGGTGATCCCCCATTGAGGAAAGCGCCCCCCAGAGTGCTAGTGCATCACGTCTGCAACATAGATCCTACAGGCAAAATATTCAAAAAAGGCTGCGACAAATTTCCTGCACTTACTGTTAAGCAGTCTGTAAACTGACACATTTGCATGTATTTGAAAAGTCAAACAAGTTGTCCAGTGGTGTATAGTAAACGAAGTAGAAATACTTCGTTACTATACTTAAGTCGTTTTTTTTTGGATATCTGTACTTTACTTTACTATTTATATTTCTGTTGACTTTTACTTCACTACATTTTGCAAAGAAAATTGATACTTTTACTCCGATACATTTCCCCTGAAACCTTCGTTACTCGCTACAAAATCAAATCTATCTTTAGAAACAAAATGAATCATGAGACCAGCGTCGGGGACTGTGGTGGAACAGAGACTGCAAGCAAGCAGGTTTGGTGAATCAGTGGTCCTAGCTTGCAAGTTAAATCACTGGTTAATCACGTTAATGCGCAATTGCAAACAAGCGCTCTCAAAGCCGCGGTGTTTTGATTCCCAGTGATGCTATATGCTATAGGTAGCAAGCAACAACACACACAGGACGGGTGGGATGAGGAGAGGTGGATGGGTCAAACAAACACTGGCGTTTCCTCCAGGAGGCCGCAGTTTGTGCCGTGCGTGAAACGAGAAGCCAATGTTGATTTATTTGTGACGTGACTTCCGTACTTAAGCAACGCCACTTCCGTAGATATTTTAACGCAAACCACGATCTTTTCCTAAACCTAACTAAGTAGTTTCATCGCCTAAACCTTAGTTGTTTCCTGTGAAGATGGAAGTTTATTTTGAAAAGACAGTATGCATGTAACAAGCGAAAACTGACTCATGTTGCTGGACTTTTGCAGGAAAAACGCACGAAAAGTGAGGAGTAACTTTCGTAAGATATCAATAAAACGGGGATGAATTTATATCATTTTATAAAGAGAGTGACATGAGAAGATCAATCTCATGTCTAAGTTAAATCAGCAATAATCACTAAAGTGATTAGTGACTCGTGTAAAACATTTAAAAAAGGAATAACTTCAAAAGACAATTCTAATACAATGTAGCTTCTTTACATTCTAATAGAATGTAGCTTCTTTACATTCTAATAGAATGTAAAGAAGCTACATTCTATTAGAATTGTCTTTTGAAGATGAACAGGATATTTTTCAGGTTCAAGTAATGACTGGGTTGTTACTTTCGGTGCTGCTTTAGTATTGATCATGTTTTGATATTTGAGTCATTTTGTGGATGATCAGATGGAGTTATGATGGTAGCAGTCGCCCAATTGCAGATTCAGCTTGAGCAAAACCTTTGCCTATTGTGTTCAGATCAGGCCCATAGGAGTTTACAAGGCAGGTGTCCTTTCTCACAACACTGACCTGATGCATCAAGTGGATATTTTTTGCTGAACATAATATTATGCATTTGCCCTCTACATCCTCTAGTCGGAATGAGCATACTTATCAACGCACTGTTACAACTCCTTCATAGCGTCATATTGCTTTTTGGAGAATTATGATGATAAGTTCATAGCAGATGCAAAAGTATACTTATGTACAATATATTATGTTGAACATTGTTGCTCCTGGATGGCTCACAGCCAACCCAATTATTTTCAACACAGCTCCATGTCCTTGGTCATGGTGGCCACAGCACTTAAAAGAATCAACTTCATAATTCTCATAATTCTGACCCTTTGCTTTTTTATTAACAGCATTTACTTGTACTTTTACTTTCAATACTTAAGTACATTTAATATCAGAAAATTACTTTTGATACTTAAGTACAATAAATATCAAATACTTTAAGACTTTTACTCAAGTAGTATTCTATTAGGTGACTTTTACTGGAGTAATTTTCCAGTAAGGTATCTTTACTTTTACTCAAGTATGGCTTTTGGGTATTTTATACACCACTGAAGTTGTCACACTAACTAGTCCCAGCCTGTGCAGCCTGCTCTCTTACTGACATTAGTAATACGATCCGTCTAATCCCTAAAAGTTTGTGGACGAGAACAATGAAAACCCTTTTGATGACGATGTCGAATATCGACCATCATCAAACTTGTGATGTGTGTTTCACAATTTGCTGACATGTTAAGGACCAAATTATTAATCGATTACTCAAGAAAATATCTGGCTGTACCGCAAGCGTGGTGTGTTTATGTGTGTCGACTCACTGCACAGTCAGTGGGGAGGTCCGTGTCCCACTTCCTGTTCTTCAGATCACCACCACCATTCCAGCGGAAGGAGCTCATGCAGCCGCTGTGGGCCAGCTCTGACAGGACAGAATACAGGAAGCACATGAAAAACATACACGTATGACAAATTCAAAATGTCTTCCTTAATCGCATTATTGCTGAACCTACCCTTAACGCGATCCGCTAGATACTCCTGGTTGGGAGTGATGTCCAGATACTGAACAATAGAGTTTATAGTGGGGATGAATGAGGCTTTCATCACCGCTGCCTGTTTCAGGCTGCTTATGCTGGCCTCTGGTGGACGACAGAGTGAAAATAAGCTAGACTCAAAAACCAATAGAAGAATACATCGAAATCACAATAACGACTTAAGCAATTTACATATTACAGAACAGGTTTTTTTCATTAAAATGAAAATGTATGTTATACAATTTCCAAAACTGCAGACGGTTTACCTCCTATCTGGAGCTCAGGGCAGCCCATCCTCCTGAGTTGGCTGTTGACAGAGTCAGTTTCCTTGACCAGAGGGACCAAGATGGTGTCACTGATCCACTAAAAAAGACAAAATAGATTTATTTTCTTACTCAAATTAAGTGTAGATGGAAGGTTTGTAACAAAAATCACACATGAAATTCATTTAAAACTTTTTTTTTTTACATTATGTAATTCTGCCAATATGTTTGAACACTCACATTTCTAAGCTTGGCCGTCCAGCTATCAATGCGGTCCACTACAGGACGACTGGTGGTGATTCTGGCCCACACCTACATAACAGGAAGAGAAAAGTACATAATTTCATGGCAATCATACATTACACACTGACAGACTGGTGTGTCTCAATTTGAAAATCATAATTATTTTATTTATTTTTAGGGTACAAAAACAATGGTAGTTTACAGACCTCCTCTGCAGCCTGTTTGGAGCCCAGGTCCGTCTCATCCTTGTGGGCAGACGGGGCCAGAGAGCGGCAGGCCGGCTGGTACAGGAACTTCCTCAGGCTCTGGGCGTAATCTCCCACCGAGCGGTTGTAGTTCCAAAATGTTGGGCTGTGGCTCGGAGACACTGACTCTGGACTCCCTATATAGTGAGCATCAGATCATTCCATGATCACATACATCACCATGTTTTTCCACATTTACTAAGACTGAGATAATAATTACTAATCATCTGAAGAATTAACTGGCCAAAGCTGTCTGTCTGTCTGTCTCACTTAGTGGCTCTAGAGTGTCCTGCTCTGTTTATGTTAAGAATGGACTTTCTAAGGCACTTGCATACTGTACCTAACTGACTGCGGTGAGTCCTCTCCTCCTCCGTGCGGAGGAACCTCTCCAGGCTTTTCAGATCCTGCATGTAGTCCTCCTTGCTTCCAGGGGAGTTAAACACTGAGGGGGATGTGCGATATCGAGCTCTCAAGCTGGAGCCTTCTGCTGGTCCAATGCTGCTGGGGTAGGGAGAGCCAGGGGAAGAACTGTAGTTCAACACCTGAGGAAAAAGGAAGAAAGTAATGCTCTCAATGTGAAGAGTGAGAAATTCATCAATTACATTGATGCACTACATATCTCCAGGCTAGGACAGATAAGTGATGTAATGGACATGCCTTTCCGAAGGCCACTGAAGGGGAAAAGGGCCCCCCTGCACTGTTTGGGGTGGATGGGCTTCCGAGAGGAGGGCTGTACCCGGGTACACAGCTGGGGGAGAACTTAGGGCTGGTGGTGGCCGACCGTGAGGGACTGAAACTCAGCACGCTTTGGCCCTGCAGTGGAGACGACTGGGCCGGGGCTGGGGTCTCTTTTTTTTCTGGCTTTTGTGGCGGAGAGACATGAATACCTGCAACGGGACAGACAATAAGCATCATACTTGTCCCACACTCAAAAACTAATAACCAAGGTGTGTTAACATAAATCTAATAAGAGATTTAACAAAAGGAGTGAAAAATACAAATTCTGCAGGCAACAAAACCAGAGCCTTACTTGTGTTTCTCAGACCCAGTAGGTGATGCTGCTCCGGGGATACAGCGATGGTGGAGGGGGCCATTGTGTATTTGAAATATTTCCAGAAGTCAAAAAGGGCATTGAGGCTAAATAGAGAGGCTAGCACCAGTTCTATAAACAAGGAGAGCGGAGAAGGACAAACTCAGCATACAGTGGCTTACAAAAATGCCAAGCAAAGTGTAACATAACAACATTTTATAACTTTTTAGCTACAACAGAAAGCCCTTTAGTAAATGAGAGAGTAGTGGGACCTCACCGATGTACCAGATAGGCCAGTACGTGATGTTGTAGTAATGACTCAGCAATTTCCCTGACCTACCAAAAAAAGAAGGTGAAAAAGACACACGTATAAATTCACCGTGCAGTGGAAGAGATGGGAGATGGTGGGACGCTGCATCAGTGCAATGGTTGCGAGACATCACATTATTGAACTTCGATCAACTTACATTTCAGTGTAAAGCATGCCAGCTAGAGACACGTTGAGAACAGCCCAGGCCAGGACCACCTGACGAGCCTGTTCCTCCCTCCTCATCCTCAGCGCCCTGTCTATCATACTAGGCATCCCGTCCTTCGATGGGGTCAACATCATTTAATCTGTTCTGTTCAGGCTGAGACAAGGAGCAGAGAAAAACAAAGACAAAGCGAGCATGCAGTGAGCTACGTTCAACAGATTAAAAAGCAAATCCCAAAAAAGTTACTACTAACACGTAGCGTGTTACAGAGCAAATCACTATCATTTAGACAGACATCTAATCATTCTGTGACATGACAACTCTACACGACTCACGGATACAAGTAGAGCAGTTAGCCGACCTGCTAGCTAAACGATAAGCTAAAGTTAGCTAGCTCACATATAAACAATACAAAAATTGCGGGGGAAGTGTGGTTTCAGTGTAAATTTCAACAACCAAAAATACAGAATTGTATACCCAAAGTGATACAACCAAAATACAAATACAACGTGTAGAAAATAATTCATACCACGCTACAGTGAATGACAACTGCGGCGCCGCATATTTTGTAATTTAACCGGAAGTTGGCTCTCGCGCTTCCGGCCGCATGAGTAGCTCGCTTAGTAGTGCAAACTCAGCATTGCCGCAACGTTTTTAAAATTACTTAATTAATAAAAAATATAAAGAAGAAAGCTAAATTAAATATACCCACGGCAGAGAATAAAAATCAGAGACATTATTTCCTTTCGAGTTGTCTCATAATAATACCGACAGTTGTGCATAGAAAGTACTGTCTTTGAAATTTAGCTAATTTTTCCTCCAATAGTGCTGTAACGTTACTTGAGAGCAAACCATTTTTTCTCCATTTCTTTAATGATCATGGTCTGCTTTTTTTCACGAAGTACATCGAAGTGAGACGGCCAGGTGGGGGCGCTACCTCTATTTCGTCCATATGGATTTGCTCTGAATGAGCATGTGTTGATCGATGACCTGCAGTCCATGATCACCAAGGTTAAATACCAATATAGACGCAAGAAAATGATGTAGTCATCTATGTGATAATGCATGCTTACAACTCTATCATGTACATAAGTCAACATGAAACAGCTGTAAATGTTCATTTAATAAAACATTTTGCAACACATAGGATGGAGCTACAACATAAATAATATAATTATAACATTAGGTCAACATTCACACAATGAGGAATATCACAACAATGCCCAGGTTCCTGTTTTAAAGAGGCTCACTTCCATTCACAATATAAAAAATCCTGGTTTTAATAAATAAAGAATGGCCAAGGCCATTTAGCAATTACATATCCAGACTATGCAAGAATATGGCATCAGCAATTGTAATTGATATTGTTGTGCAACTACAAACATATCAACCATTCATTCCATGTTATTGAGTGAGACAAAAAAGAAATAGAATGAATTACAATGAATGAAAGTTAGCTTAATGGATCCCATCAACCACTATTACACAGGCCCAAGTTAAATAAAAAGAGTTTTGTAAAAAATACAGTCAGATCTTTATGAGTTTTCTTATATGACAAAGATTATTTCACCAGCACCAATATGCTTGGGTGAGACTAAACATGTATTGATTTAAAAATGTATGTAAAATGTGTCTATTAAAAAGTATTGCCTATGTACTCCAATAAACGCAGGGATAGGCATTACGGTCAGGTGCATTGTGATCCGGACAGCAGGCAAAGGCGGAGACCTAGGCGTGCCGACCCCTGGCATCGCAGGCGTGGAACATGACCACTCTGGCGTGGAAGGAACCGGAGCTGGAGGTGGAACGGTATCAACTAGATATAGTTGGGCTGACCTCCACGCATCGGGGCTGGACTTTAGTTCTTATCACAAGTGAGGTTAAAACGGAGCGTGAGATGGACAGGCGGTTCGGTGCGGAATCAGCAGTGATACGGGCGTTGCACCGGACCGTTGTAGTGAAAGCTCTCCGTTTACCGGTCCATCTACCTTCCCACACTCACCGATGATCAAGAGCTTTGGGTAGCTAATGACATCGACATGATAATGGAATGGATGAAACGTAAGATGTTGCAAATGAAATTTGACAAAGTAACTGATAATTGGCAAAAAACTAGAGATAAACATGATTAGTGTAGTAAAGCATATAAATAAACAAGACATCTCAAAAAGGCACAGTGTTGTCAATGAGGGGGTGACAGGGACTTTTCAGAGTCATATCCTCCAACATCTAAACCACAGTCTTCATTGCTGGCTGAGTCTACAAGTCTCTCTCCCCCTCTTCCCCGACCATCCTCCTCCTCCTCCTCCTCCTCCTCTTCCTCCTCCTCCTCTTCCTCATCTTCATCCTCTTCCTCATCTAATTCCTGCTCCTTGCGAGACGCTCTTTCCGCCTTGGGCCCTTTGCATATCTTGAGGTGACGGGTGAGGTGGTATTTGGTGAGGAAAGCTTTGTGGCATTTCTCACAGACAAAGTCTCTTCGGCCCTCGTGAGAGTTCATGTGCTTCTTCAGGTGGTTGGTCTTGAGGAATTGTTTGTTGCACTTTGGGCACTCTATGCGGCGCTCACTGTGGTGGAAAAGGGAAACAGCATAAAGACAATGCACGCGTTATATAACCGTTATTTTATTAGGTAATCTCAATGATATCAAGATCTCTTTGGCAAAAAAAGACCAGAGTACAGAAAGAAAAACAAACAGACTACAATCACTGCAAAAACAGACCACAATCTTTAGGCCTGCCAACTCATATAATAACTGCTTAATTCTACAGCTTTATCTAGAATGCAATAAATAAGTTACATACTGTGTGTGGGAGAACATGTGTTGTGTCAGGTCATGTTTCCTGATGAATGCTCGGTCACAGAGGTCACACTTGAGCTTCTCGGCACCGGTGTGGATGAGCATATGCGATGCCACATGGGATTTCTGGGTAAACAACTTCTCGCAAACTGTGCATCTGTAGTTCTTCTGACCTGTCGGAGGAAAAAAAAAAAAAAAAAAGAGTTTCAGAGGTTTCAAATGTTTTAAAGCACTTTTCCACTTTCCTGTATCGATCTACTCAAAAGTGTTAAAGGGTGCTGGGAATTAGCTGTTAATTTGTTATTTTCTTTTGAAGTGCATTCACTCTCTCGTCAGACACGTCTTTCCTAGAAAAAAACTAATACATAGTTGAGTTGAGTGCAATCATAAATTTATATAAGTGACTTTTCATAATTGGTCTTTTGGGACAACACAGTATATAGTATGACAGCTGAGAAGACAGATGTTGCCAAAAATCAAACCTGATTCCACTTCAATTATCCCTGTACACACCTGTGTGAATCTTGAGGTGCATCCTGAGGTTGCTGGGATCGCTGAAGGCCTTACTGCAGTATTCACACTTGTGAGGTTTCATCCCCACGTGCCCCATGAAGTGCACGTTGAGCTTTGTGGATGTGAGAAAAGCCCGGGAACACATGCTGCATTTGAATTTCCTCTCCCGTACATGACCCTGACCTTTCGCTCTGGAGGTAACATTATTAGAGTTTCTATTACTGCTGGCCCTGATGCTGTTGTTTTCACTGTTTGTTTGTCCTGCAGCGTGGGTGTGGCAGGGCCATGGGGAAGAGGAGGAGCTCGAGGTCCCATTGGTCAGCTTCTCTTCCCGGTGAGTGTGTTGCTGTTGCTGTGGTTGTTGCTCTTGCTGCTGCTGTGGTTGTTGCTGAGAGTGGTCCTGCTGCGACGGGCTGTGGCTGTGTGGAGGTTGGTTATGGCTGTGGTTGCTGTTATGGCTATCAAGATGAGACTTGAGCTCAGAGAAAGAGGAGCACTCTTTGCCACAATGGCAGATCTGGCCCTCGGGGACCTGCGGAACACCTGTAAAGACGTGAAAGATGGTGGAATGGTCAACATCAATCAAAGGATAACAAGTGGATCGGTGTGGCTTCTTTAAAATCAAGAGTATACATGTTTAGTCATCTGTTGTCTCACCCATCAGCCTACAGTAGTCTCTGCTGTAATAGAAGAGCAGCTGCTGGTCCGGGTGGATCTCTGTGGTTGTACAGAAGAACAGTTTACCGTTGGCAGGGTACGCCACCAGGTTCGGTTCCTCACGGGTTCTAAACACACACATACACACACACACATAAACACAGCAAACTGGTCAGTTTATTAACCCGTCGGCTAGACTGAAACATGGCAAAAGCGACAATGCTGATCACAAGCACTGACAATTTGGGAGGAGAAAACTGAAGTGCACATCTTTATCCTACTCCAGCTCTGTGTCATACCTGGCTTTGTGGACAAACATCATCCAGTTGCACTCGTTCTCATCTGTTGTCACAATGTAGAATTCCAGCACATTGTTGTGGTACATCTGAAATAAATAACTGGGTTAATCTACTTATAATGGTTTTGGACTGACTGCGACAACCCACGGTCCAACTAAAATCACTGCACTGACCTTCCATATTTGTGGAGCGTCCTTTTCTGGCCAATCAGAGAGGTCCACATTGCTACAGTGCTGGCCCACCATTGGTCCAAAGCAGGTCCTTGGAGGAATGACATCCCGTGCAAAAACTCCTGAGGTGGGTGGGGGCGGGGCAAAGACAGTTTGTCAGTAATCTAATTGATGGTCTGCTAAATGTTTATTTGTCGACCTATGTACAGCCTTTAAAAAAAAAAGAAGTATATAAATAATAAATTCTAATAGTGCTTTTACTTTGCACTTGAACTGGCAGATACAAAACTGAGCACATTGTTAATGAGGTTCTACATAAAATGCAAGATTTTATGCGTTTTAGAATTCCAGCTAGGAATTGTTAGCGGGTTTATCCTCTTACCAAGCGGTTCGTCAGCTACTGAGATGCGCAGGCACAGTCGACGCGGCAGAGAGAGGCGAGCCCGGCTTTGGATAGGCGTGTCAGGGATGAAGGTGACTGGGCCGTGCTCTGGGCAGTCTGAGGTATACGAGCGCTCACACAGTGTGCACCCTGGAAGACAATAAAAGCACTACAGTTGCTTCAGGTGAGAGTCACTAATATACTTATTACAAAGTCAAGTGCTTACTTAACATACACAGTACTCATTTCACTTCAATGACTATGATTTTTACAATTACTTATTTAAATTACATATTTCCTCCTAGCTGTATATGATTCCTCGTACCGTTTTCTTTTTTTTTAATCCATTGATCCAGTTTTTTAACCTCTGAAGAAACTATTACAAATACACACTCACAGATGGTGTAGGCAGTGACCATGTTCTCCTTGTTGGAGGTAGAATCCTCTAGCTGCAGGGTGGAGTTAACCAGCACCAGGTTGTTTTCTGGCCCCAGCGACACCTCTGCAGTGATGGGGGACACATTCACTGCGTCCAGTCCCATCCCAGAGTGCCCATGGAGGGATGGCTCCAGTTGGCCCTGGCCGGCCATGGAGCCAGTAAGCACCACACTGACAACGCCCGAGTTCAACTCCCCATTTGAGTGGAGCTGCTCCCCGAGTCCTCCTGCTCCTCCTCCCACCGTGTTCCCCACTCGGCCCCCCATGTGATCCTGCTCCATCACCACCGGTAGTTCCAGAACAGGGGGTCCATGGAGGGGCATCACCCCACCAGATGAGTCCACCCCAGTCAATCCCTCATGCGGCTGAGGCTGCCTTCCCCCTCCGAGCTGCTGCTGGGTGTCAGACACCACCACCCCGACTCCGTCCATGGTGGCCAGTTCCTCTCCCATCCGGTCAGGGGACATGGGGCTGCTAACACGTGACTCCATGGCCAAACCTGTAGAGTCCAGCTCATGAGCACCAGTCTGGTGGAGGTCTCCCTGGCCGCTCACTCTGGAGTCCATGGGCACCAGGCCCTGCTCCAGTGGGCCTCCAGGGCCACTGTAGGGATCAAGACCTGAGGGATTGTTGCTGGCCACCGACAGGGTCCCATCCATGTTAAGGCTGCTAGGGTGGATGTATTGAGGGGGTGGACGGTCTGCCAGATAGGACAGGATACCTACAGCAGGGAAGAAAGAGGGAGCATGATCAGCGCTGAAACAAAAAATCCAAACTGAATGTACTGAGCAGCATGCATGATTTATTCATTAACTTAAATATGTTCAGTAAAATAGCAACCGGAGGATGGCTACCCTTCAAATTAGAGCATCCGGGATAAAACTCATTCAAACAATCATCCGCACCCCAAGAATCTGGCTGACTGCTTTGAGAATTTCAACACAGACAGATGAGTTGTATACCTCACACAAAATGAGAACCCACCTGGCAGTATGTGTCGGAAGTAGCTGCTCTCCAGGTGGGGGTATGGAGGCGGTGGCAAAGAGTAGTTCCTCTCTGGCAGGCCGCACATCACTCCTCTGTCACTCAGCGGACCCATGGGGAGCATCAGCGAGAGGGCAGAGGGAAGGGAGCCCAGGGAGGGACCCAGGCTGGGGATGGCCACTGACATGCCTGAACCATAACAAAGAGTCAAGAGGAAATAATAAACCGAGATTAAATTCAGTGATGCTTGATTTCTCAACAGTTGGTCTAGTGTGTTAGATCTACTGTATTGTGGCCAGCTGGAGCAAACAGGCCTGGCCGGTAGTGTCTTTCATACCTGCAGTGGGAATGGGGTTGTGTGTCGGGGAGGTGGGCAGACCCAGGTGGCTGGCACTCACTGAGGGCACACTGAGCTGGTCCATGCCCACAGGACTCAGGTTCATGTCGTTCATCCTGGAGTTAAACCCAGACATCCAAATAATGAGCTGACCGCTTAAGTTTCCGGCTGTTATTTAGACACAGTTAGAAATACTGAGACATGGATTTAGGCTCCGTTACGATTGAGCCCTTATCTGTAGCGTGTATCGCCTGTATGACACACTCATACAAAGACACACAGGCGATGCAGTGTGAGCTACGTTAGCTTCACGTTACCTGAATTCAACAACCGATGCCCGTCCGTAACCATGTACTGTTGAATTGGGCTTTCATATGTCTCTCCCTGTAGAATAAAAACACCTGGTGTGATTACAACTCAACTTAAAACGACATGCCAATCACGAATATTATAGAAATGTTATTTAAATAGCTTAAACAGCAGTTAACGTTAGCCTGGCTAACTTGCATCTAAATACGTCGTCAAAACAGAGAATTAACTGCTGTGTTTCAGCTTGATAGAAGTAACGGAATATCTGTCACGACAGAGCGTGACGCTTCATTACAAAAATACTGACTATGTAGAAAGGAAGGTGCCTTGAAAACAACATACCAGCACAATGCCTCCCTGAACGGGGCCATGACAGTTTAACTGCACATTGTGCGCATGCGCTGTAGGAATAGAGTATTTGGCTGATCACAGGTCAGTTCTTCTGTCCTCCAATCTCCACATTCACAAAAAAAGAGGCGGAGCATCAGGGGGCCGGGAAGTCATATATGGCCTAAATAAAAAATAAAAGTCTTCTTTTTCTGTTTTGAGTCATGTTGTCTTGCGCTGTTTTGGACTGTTTTAAAAGACTGCCTACACTTTTTACAGAATTTATTGTCTGACTGACTGTGACGCTATTGAATGAAAGACATACAAATATATTCATTTCGATAAAAGTGATTACACATCGTATGTATTAAACATTTGAGTAATTTCTTCAGTAAATAAAACAATTGCGATATCATTCTGCCGCAATAACGTTTCAGTAAATATAAAATATCCATCAAAGGCTATCGCAGATAATATCAGATTATACCCAAATCCCATAATGTGAACTGTAAAACAATGTGATGCAACTGCCTCTGAGCTTACACACAAAATACTCATAGTCAAATAGTTAAAAGAACACTCAGCAATTCATCGTTTCCATATGTGATTTCTGTTCATTCTCCTCTGAATCATAATTCCATCATTCTTTCAAATCACATGATTGTATGCATCTTAGATAAACTGATAGTGAACTGGGATTAAAATGCAACATGACAATCTGTTGCATTTTGCCTACCATATGTTTTATTGATATATAGGCTATTTTATAAATATTTACAATCAAAAAGTCAGTTATTTCAAGCCCGTATAGTTTGACTTACACCTTCATGATTAGCGTTGCTTCACAGTGTCAACAGAAGGAAGAACACGTTGTGTCAACAGTTTTATCTTGATGAGAAAGTCATGGCTGCATCTCCGCCCCGGATCACACCCACCATATACCTACACCCTCAAAACCCCAACAAACAAGTTGTCAAACACAGACTGATCTCAATCAAGAAGTTCACTTATAAACGATCGCAAAAAAAGATTTAATCATACAAGCTAGTGGCGGTATTTACTTTCTGAAAAATCGAGATGACTGTGAGGAGACTGTATGGGTAAGTTGCATCGTTGGTACACAATTAATTGCATATATTTTGCAGCTGTTTAATCTAAGATTGTCTCCTTTTTTATTCTCAGGGAAATGTCTTATCACAGTAAGGAGTTAACGGAGCATATCCCATATGTCCCTCCACTGGCTCTCCACGGCTTCTCCATGGACAGCAGCGGAGCACACTACAAGGATGCGCTTCGACTTGGACTGCCCATCCACCTAGACGCTGCATACTTCGACCCTGTGCACGGCCAGAGGTCACCCTACAGACGATTATCATACTTCCCCTTTCACGTCCCGCTCGGTGTGTGTGATTATTCCTTTGAGCCTGCATTTATCCGGAAAAGGAACGAAAGGGAGCGACATCGAGTGCGCTGCGTAAACGAAGGTTACGCGCAGCTCAGAGAGCATCTCCCGCAGGAGTTTGAGGACAAACGGCTCAGCAAAGTGGAGACCCTCCGGGCGGCTATCGATTACATCAAACACCTGCAGAGCCTGCTGGACTTAAACGCGTCCGGGATGGAGATGCCACTTGGAGACGCGCGTAACCGTGCGCCGCTTCCGCAGAGGACAGATTGCAACAGTGATGGAGAATCCAAAACTGGCCTCAACGACAGTGGGGGAATAGTTTACTAGCTCTAACTCTCTCGCTCCCTGTGATATGCTGTACATTAATTCAATTGTTAAGAAAGTAAAACATGCCTAATTGACACAATTTCCACTGTCTGATTTTATTCCAAAGTCTGTATTGAACATAAACATCGTTTGTTTACATGTAAGGAGCCATAGGACAAACACCCATCAGAGAAAGCAGTTATGTTAAGATGGTTATAAGACGCAAAATCACAATGAATGATATAATTGTGTTGCATCTAATACTGTGATATAGTGGTGGTGTCTGTTATGTTGCATGTTTTATTACCGAGTGTGAGTTTGAAAACACTTAATTACTAAAAATGAAAAATTCAGCAATCAAAATCTTCACCATTTGTTATAAACCGATGAGGGAATAGTAAAAAAATATTATGACTATTTTGTGGGACATTTGAAGTTGACATTTGGAAGTTGAGCACTTCATATCTTTAGGTCGTATAAAAAGATTAATTCAGTGTAGGTCCATCCACTTTGAATTTTTCTAAACATTTGGTAATAATAACATTAATTAGTACACTTAACTGTAATGCAGCTATTAATCACAGCTGTGATTTCCTGCTATGACATAAATGTCATAAATGATGAGCAAGGCTTATTCTGTCTGAAACTGATACTCTTGTGTCATGTTTTAGTTTGGGCCAAGTGAACATTGAATTACAGTAACACAGGCTTAACTGGCCCTTAAAGCACATAAATGACACCTCAAAACAATCTCAGGGTTCTCAGGAAGTTATCTCCCCTAATAGCTTAAGGAATGCACTTATCAGGGAGACCTATTTGTGTGTTTATACTTCCCACCTCCGCTGACCTGCACGGAAACAGCTCACAATTTCTGATTTTCAGAAATACCAAAACCACAAATTGGAGGGGGGGGTAAACACACTGTTCTATACAAGTAAAAGGGGTCTGGAGAGACCAGCAGAGCGCAGTTCAAGTGAACTGTGCTGGTATGGAAGAATGGCATTGACAGCCACAAAGGCGTGACCTACCCATAACAAAAGGTGTTTGGCTGTGCAATACGTGAATAAGACCCAATAATTAGCCAAGTGCTGGTACCCTGGGCTTGATGGTTCAGTGGCACTCTGAAGATAGAGAACATTAAGCTATTAAAATGAAAGCATCCGCCATAATGGATGTTTTCTCCCCTGATACACACAGGCTGATTCTAATCAGTTTCCATCCCTGATTCATTGTAGGCATTGCTATAGCTTACCGGAAAGGTTGTTGCTAATGCATGCATGTGATTTAAAACGGTAGACTTTTGAATGTATTTCCTCCTACATGATAATTTTTGTAAATCTGTCACAACATGTACAACAAAACCTTGTTGTCGTAAACCAACACATTTTTACAAAATGAGCTTGTACTGCATACAGTATGCAGGCACCAGAGCTCAGACTAACAACAACATGTCCTCCACACAGACAGGCAAAGTCACAGCGTCACCATGGACCTCGGAGTAAACATGTAGACAATAACTGACAGACAGATTATATTTCTATATTAGGCCTGCAAATTGTGTCTTCTGTGTTCAAGGCTGCAGATTTGTGCAGGGCAGGAGAGGAAATACCTGCAAACATGCACGATGACTTAGATAGATAAAGTTTATCAGTTGAAGTAAGATCAGTGCAGGACCACCGGGAAAGGTTGCTGCGACATGTCGAGACAGAGAGCCCACATTCAGAGACGGAAACGGAACAGCAGGACACTCAATTGCGCAGGGTTGTCTCCTGTATGCTTCAGTTTAAAATCTGGAAATTGTATTTCACTGTAGAAGTTGTTTTTTTCTTCCAAAAAATACTCCGCATTGCCAATAGATGGCATGTTGATTGAAGTTTTGCATAATGTTGGTTACATTCAATTTGTGGTAAAAATCCAAAAGTATTTGTTATTTGAGTAAAAAATTAAAATGCAACAATCCAATTATATCAAAATACTCGAATGGGCAAAAAATAGGAAAAGTGTTCGTGCTGTACAGTGGACAACATTCAAATATTAATTCAAATTTGAAAATGTAAATGCAATATAAATAATGTAAGCAATATTTAAGTCAAAATGAAAAAGATATTTTCCAACCATTTGAAAATGAAAAAGAAAACAGTATTTAACATTTCTTTTTTACCTCCAGGATCATGACTGTCATAAAACGCACACACCCATATGAGATATACCAGTATGTGAAAATGAAAATGGAAGCAGCGCTTTTCTATAATAAAGTCAGTTATCCAACGCTTCAGCAAAACTGGTTTGTATTGAAAAGAACACATAGAAGCAAATGATGCATCCTTTACTGTAATTTATTAATTAAATACATATTTACAAGTAGTGTAACGTAAGCAACTGTGTGACATGAAGTGAAATGTACACCTTGTGTGTCTTCTGTGTGTATAAATACACGTGTGTGCTGGCAATCAATGGGCCTGCAGCTTTTCCACGAGTGCGTCTTTTTCCAATTCTAACATGGATATCTGACGATTCTTGTCGCTCACCTCCTGTCAAAGGAAGAAAATATGGCCATATCATAGAAACACAAACAGATGAATAAGTCAAGATTCATGAAAAAAGCATCCCCTGTTTGTAAAGATCAATTAAAGGGGAAAATCACCCCAAATAAATAAATGAGTACCAAACAGGATTTTTTTTAAAAAGAGTTTGAAGCCTTTTAAGGCTAATAGTAAATTAAATGACTTCCCCCTTCTTGAACATGAGACATTTTTTCTTCTCCCTACCCGAGTTAGTACTGTGTTGTGCCACCGGAGGTCACTCACTGCCACCGCGTCATGCAAAGAAGGGTTGCTCCCGCTAGTGACATTGGGCTCACTCATCACAGAACCCAGAGAGCCATTCGCCCGCTGGATCCGAGACCTGAGGAGGCAAGACCGGGCCTGTAGAGATGCAGACAGGTGGGTGTTGAGGGACACCGTAAATGACAGTTCAGTAAAGTCTGTGAGGCCCTGAACCCAACCCTGCCTCGCACCTCTGCTGCGCCTCCCTGGCAGGATCCGACCCCAGTTTTGGTCTTGATGCTGCCCTGCCTGGCTCTGTTCTCCTCCAGCCGCTGGAGGTACCAGAGACGGGCCTTCTCCAGAACCTCCAGGCCGGAGCACAGAGCGTCCTTCTCCTTCTCTAGGTCCTTCAGACGCTTAACCTGAGGTGAGAAGAACACAGCTCGAAGATGTTCATGTGAGTATATACAGAGTCTTGTAACCTAAACTGAAATTGTCCTTCATCATCCAGGAACAGCTTTGTGAGAGGATACCGACAAAATGAATAAACGTTGGAGCGTCACATTCAGCCAGTGGCCTGCATGTCACCTCTCTTCATTCCCTTTAACATTTTTTTTGACTATAGAGCCAGTCAGGTATGTGTTTGCATGATGGCACCAGGGGGGCTGACTAACAAGCCCCCCCCAGCCAGCTGACCTGAAGCAGCGTGATCGGCACAGCGCTGACTGTTGTCTTCAAGAGGCCCCAAGGCTTTGTTTACATCAGCAGAGCAGCAGGAGGCCTTTAGTCCTATTGTCTGCCCTCGGCTGCATTACATGCACTTTAAATGGATTCACATATGCGTTTTTCAAATGGAAACGGAGTAGTGTGGATATGGCCTGACAGTGCCACAACAAGCAGGGAATCATAACATATGTTGGTGTGATCCGCCTCTGGATGAGGACAGGACGTCACAGTCAGAAGGACATTAGAAACTCATGACATTGTTGTATCACTAGTGAGAGATTAATCTTAGCTGCGTTTTAAGATATGCTAAATAGTTCCCTTTTATTTAATATACGATCTTATCTTAGAACTGTGTGTCTGCAATAATAATCTCAAATCTATGACTGTTAGTTACATGACAACTCCTCTTATAATAATAGATTCACAGTTATTGGAAAACTGGTTATATTGAGCCTTTAACAGGAAGCTGTGAGGGGCAGACCTGACATGTGGGAATGTGTCACTGGGATGACTGCAGCCATGCAACCTTCAAAACAGTTCAGGACATGGAGCAAAGACAGAAAAACAGACTGAAAACAGAGATTCTGCAAGCATTTAGCTTAAACGTCCAGTATAAAAAAAAGCTAATTCCTATTATGTTTATATGAATAATACAGTTCATGATTACAGCAATGTTACAACCAAGTATATGTCTAAATACTCCATAGTGACCACTTCATTAGGTATACGCTGACACAATCTAATGCAATCCTATCCAAACTTGTATCATGTCTATAATGTTTCGTGTATTTTGTTTTTCTGACACTATTATAGAGGTGTATAACTATTATTGAGGTCAGGTCATTGGTTGTGTCATGCTGGACTGCATTAAATCCAGAGGTGTTTCTAATATGTTGAACCCCTCATGTTTGCAAAATAAGAAAGACACAACACGAAACACACTTTTACATAATACCTTTGAATACAATGGCACCTTTAACTATGACTTCAATAAAGAGCACGGAATTGAAATTCCAGATTTGAGACACCATACATGTTCACATACAGTACAGTGTATAAGCATATAAGCCTCAATTCAACTAAATAATTTGTTCCACATGACAGAGGAGTAAACAAGGTCATGTGAATGTACCTTGGCCAAATGTGCCAAACTGGTGACACTTTACACAGACTGGAGAAGCAGTAAATGCTTAACTTTGAGTAATGAATCACAAGTCTTTTTAAACAGAAACTGTATAGTTTTAACCTACATGGCCTCTACGGTACTACTACAGTAATTTTGTCAATTGTGCAAAAAACAGTGAGCTGAAAACTGGGGAACAAAACACGTGAGTAATGTGAGAATGCACGGCAGTTGATAAGAATCACTAAGGAGAATCACACTCATAATTACCCACGACAAAGACACCATGAGATGCAGCTGATTAGAAATAAATCATATGCAAGCTTCTACCACCCTCCTACACACACACACACACACACACACACACACACACACACTCAAGCTCCCTCCTCACCCATAGGTAGAAGCGAAGTGCGTCCAGGCTGTAGAGGCCGGTCCTGAGCGGGATGATAACCACAGTGTAGGAGCCAGAGCCGGGGGGACGACAGGCCATGGAGAGGAGATCAGTCACTGACAGCTACTACTACTACTACTACTGCCCCATACAGCTGGCTGAATAACAAACAACAAATCACAGCTCGCCACCGGCTGGCTCACAATAATAGGCCTACAACAGAGAGAGAATGAGAGTGTGTGTGAGAGAGAAAGAGAGAGAGAGAGTAGGCAGGTGTGGGAGGAAAAAAATCAGCAGGATACACAGGCACAGGCAGCGCGGTTCACCCTGGGGCGAGGTAATGAAAAATTCCACATGTCACTGCCATGACTGGTTAATCGACGTACAGTGACACGGAGTGAGCGATGGAGTGGAAAGAAGGTGAAACTGGCCACGCGGGATCAAATAAAGCAGAAGCGACAACAGTGAGTGGGAGGAAATATGAAAGGGGAGCTGCGGGTGGCAGATTTGAGAGGAGGATACAGGTGTGAGATCAGGCGTTTGCCAACTTGTGTGTTTTTTGGCTCGAAAACCTTGTTCGCCCCAAAATCTCAGCTATGTAGAAGAAGGACAGGAGGGAAAAAACAGGCCTCCGTTTCACAAGCTGTGTCTGCTCAGGGGCAGGATTCACAAAGAATCATGTCATCCTGTAACTAGAGAGTGTAAACAGGACGTTCCCCTTATCGAATGAAAAGAGGAGCGCGTGTGATTGTTTTTCTGCTCAGCTTCAGGTGAGCCCCAACACGTTCCCTGGAATGTGACCTAACCTGGAAACGAGGAGTGCGTGCCGGCGTGGACATTATAGCAACAGAGTGAAGCGGTTAAGACAAACAAGCGGAGCAGTTCTGAGAGCAGAGGTGGAGGGTGGAGCGCTCATGGATTTCAGCCACGTGGCATTGCCACTAACATCATTACTATCAGCGCTCGGCTGTTCAGCTGGTCAATGGCAGCATCGGTGGCACATGTTTTGTTGTTTTATTACTGCCTCAGGCTGAACGGGCTGTTAGACCAATCGGATGAATCCTTTAGCAACACTGTTGGAAATATTTATTTAGCGTCCTGAGATTTACGAGGAGGAATATGAAGATTCAGCACAAAAAAATGTGTTCTTCGTTTTTTCTTTGGCAAAATTAACTAATTCATCAATCTGTTTTTTTTTTTACCACAATTGCCCCCAGGTCCTTCAATGTGTGCATCAGTTTGAATAGAAAAGGCTTAATGATAGATACTCTGTCTGATCAGGAGTTTAGTCTGACCAGTTGATTCACTTAATTAACAGCGTTCGATCCCCAGCCCTGCTAGTCCATCTCAATTTTATTTTTATTAATTGACTTGACTATCTTTACATGTAATCAGCTTAACGAACAGGCCCCTGAAACCTATTGATTACTTGCTGAAAGTGTCACTGACTTTCTTTCTCACTTTAATGCCGCAGTCCTGCTTGATCACCAGCAGAGAGAGCCATAAGAGCGCACCGCCTGCCAGAGTTGAGAATCCTATTCAGAGCTGACATTTTGTGATTCTTTATGGTTTACTCATTGACGCGTGAAGCTGCAGCTCTTACACAACACCAGATGGCGCTGCAGAACAATGACACGGAGCCACGAGACTTGCCCAAAAGTATGCCAACTATTTTCAACCTATGTTAAGACATTTCTCAAGCCTGCAATTCATGGCAAAAAAAAAAATTAGGATCTCTGAGAGGTCACTTTTACATAACACACCTATACATTACAAACTGTAGGTATATCTAACAAAAAAAAGCTGTTCTGTAATATTTTTGTGTCGTGTGACAAGCCCCAATCAGCTTGAGGACAGCAGTTGGATCAAAACACGGGATTCAACTGCTACAGAGGAATGTCTCTGCGCTCATCTATGAGATGGAGCCTGCTGGGAGCTCATGACCCTGTGTTACATCATGAGACACATGATTCTCACCAGAATAAAGCTCTCAAAAAAAAAATCTCATGATAGCAGGAACACTAACAAATGATGCATTTTCTACTGTGACGCCTTCTGTTTAGCTGGTTGTAGGGCTCTTTACCGGGAGTCAAGAGAGAAGATGAGATAAAATAAAAAGGAACAAAAAATGAAGTTCTGCACAGTTTATGTGTGAAAGAAGTCATCTGACTTTACAGAAGTCACTTAGTAAAAAGAGAAAACCTTTCGTTGTTGATCATGTTGAATTTACACTGTGGGGCCCTGTCACACAAATACGTGAAAATATAATCATACATACAGTTTCAAATACACACACACACACACACACACACACACACACACACACACACACACA